CTCATTGAATCGTCATAACAAAACAATTAGACTTTTCAAACTTGCATTAAAAAGCCAATTATGGACCTGATATCCCCCAAATGGTCCAAAATGGCTTGAAAAATTCAAAGGGGCGTGTACTTTCCAAACTCCAGGTGCTCTGTCGATGTGTATGTAGTACAAGCCAAGTCTGGACGATATGTCTTGGATAAAAGCTCTTACTCTTTAGTGAACTCTTTTATCAGTCATTTGTGGTCCTGAAAAGGCCCGATGGGTTGGAAGCTTGGAAGCCAGTTTAGAACAATGCTGTGGAAATTTGTCCTCAATGTTCTTGGAGATGATAGCGGTGCGGAAATGAAATAAGTATGAGCCTACCGAACGGTACCTACGTTTATGCTTTTTGATGCAAATTTTAAGCCTCTTATATCAAGAGAATTTGGCAAGATTTTTTTTTGGCATAATTCTCTTACTAGGAGGGGCCTAAAATTTGCATCAAAAGGCATATAGATAGGTAATGTCTGGCATACTCAGTGCAAGCCGAGCCATGGCTCTACTGCCCGGGATTATCGTACGCCCGTGCGGTGTCAGGAGAGTCAGAAGACAATTCTCCACTCACAAGTGACGAACTAGTTATCCTTGTGACTGAGGTGATCATAATCTTGCGCACCACCAAGACACTACCTGAACAGCTTCGTGCAGTAATGTCCCTCGTGTAAAAGTATGGATCGTGAAGTCATCAAAATAGTCAACTGGAACGCTTGCTCGCTCAAGAGCAAAATCATTGAGTTCGTTGATTTCCTCAATGTACATTGACATCACCGTCATCACCGAAACACACCTGAAGCCGGAGATAAATTTTCACCTCCCCGATTTTCGGCTCGTAAGGCTAGACCGGACCAGCTCCTGCGGAAGATGCGTGGCTATCGCATTTAGGAGAAATATTGGCTGTCGACTGCTACCAAGTTTCCATCTGAATATGATCGAAGCGGTGGGTGTGGAAGTCCCCACTCCTGTCCCCTATTACCATCAACCCTACTGTCCCAAACAAGTCACCATCAGGGACGGGTCGGCAGCAGACCTGCGGAGAGACATCATCAGACTAACTCGACGCCGTGAGAAGTACATCATCGCTGACGACCTGAACGCCAAACACCAGGCTTGGGACAACAGTCGACGCAACCAAAACGGCACAATCCTGAACGACGACCTGCAAGAGGCTCACTACACCATAATAGCGCCGGCTTGAGGTGATCTGGCGTACACTCCACCATCGACATCTTCATCAGCAACTTAGGAGACAACATCTCACAACCTGTGACCCACTAGGAGCTGAGATCGGACCACTATCCGGTGGTGGCCAATGTGGACTCATCCGTCAACCGATTTCAAGCTTCCTGACGCAACTACCATAGCGTCAGCTGGGATCAGTTCCAACATTGTGTCGACTACGGTGTTCTTCCGGAGACGCTCGAAGACGTTGACCGGTGTCTGCGTTCCATCGAGGAGGCGATATCCCGGGCCAGGGAACAACACGTGCCAGTATCCAGACAGGCGAGAAATACTCTGAACCTTGATAAAATTACCAACAATCTCATTAGACTCCGTTGTTCCATTAGAAGGCAATACCAGCGTTCTGGCTTGTCTGTCTCGAAGACCCACCGTAATCGCCTAACAAAAACCATCCAAGCTAGGATGGTGGACCTCTGAAATCATAACTTTGCTCTTCCAGATTGTACAAAACCCTTTTGGAAACTAACGAAAATCCTTAAAAATAAGCCAAGACCCATTCCACCACTGACCCAACTGAATAGTCCCGGCGGTGGTTCATTTGATAACTCCGGAAGAGAAGGCTGCCGCGATAGGTCAACACTTCGTCAGCTCCCATAATCTCGGACAAAACATCGTCAGCCCTCACGAAGCTAAGGTTTCTGAAAACGCAACCAACCTCCATCAGATTTCCAATATTTTTCCGAGGAATCCGAGATTACGGCTGACGAATTGTTGGCCTATATCAAATCATCTAAAAATATGAAGGCCCCAGGTTTCGGCAACATCTTGAATTTGGAACTCAAACACTTGAGTTCCAGATTCTACAACCATCTGACACTGATTTTAAACCTGTGCCTCCGACTTGGCTACTTCCCCTTGTGCTGGAAGTCAGCTAAAGTCATACCTATTCGGAAACCTGGGAAAGATCCGTCCTCTCCTTCAAGTTATCGACCAATCAGCCTTCTCTCAGGGTTATCAAAACAATGTTTTCTTCCAAAACATTTACACAAGAACACACCTTAAAATAGCCTCAGTTGCGCCAAGCTCCCAGTCGCAAAAGGCGATAGTTTTCACAGGGAACTGGCACGTTATTTTTACTGGGTTGCAGGAACGCCTGAGGAGCCTGGTAGAAATCGAACCGGTTATCCACATTTGCTCAGATTATACTGGCCAGCGAAGTTCACCGGATTTCCTTCAACTGCTGCAGCGTAAAGGCACCCGGATTTACCTCCGGAGAGTTGGTGAAGTAGTACCTGTCTCCAAACTTGTACCGCGAGTACGCCTTCGCTAGCAGATGACTGAATGTCGGTCCCACAACGGTACCATTCGCCGGAGGTTCCAACACACCGCCAGGCTACAGATCGATGTCGTCGGGAGATTCGTAAACCTGCGCTAGCCGTGCTCCCACCTTGCCCAGTTGTCGAAAATCGGTTATCCGGGGAAGTCCTGCCCATTCGCGATAATCGTTGTATGGCCGCAAGGCAATGTCACGACTCCGTTGGATATTTAACGCGGCCAAATCCGAACCAAATGGTTTACGCTTCTTGAACAGGAACCGGGTAAGGCCAAAGGTGACAGCTTTATCCATCGACTCCATGGGCTGTTGGTTGAAAGAGAACATCATTTCGTCGAAACAGTCCGGTTCCAGCGTCTTGGTCGGATCGTTGAAGATGTCCTTGATGAAGACGTCCTCCGGAGGTGCCTTTTTGTGGAGGAGTCGGAAGAACCCTTCAACGGTGGAGTGGCCGTAACGTTGGGCCGCCGCTGCAACCTCAGCAAGCGTCATCGATCGAAGATTCGGATTGTAGAAGTTGGTGAACCCTTTAATAGTATCCTCCAGTCCGAACTGTTGCACCTTCCGATGACCCAGGAGAATCGGGAGGTACTCATTGTACACCACGTTCTGAAGCTCAGTAATCACATCTGCCATGGCGTTGTTGGACGATGAAAAAGCGTTCGACAATGTTTGGTATGATGGCCTGGTGTTCAAATTGCAGCACTACAGTGTTCCAATCTTCCTAGTGAAGATAATAAACAACTATCTATCGAACAGGACGTTCCGAGTCTCTCTGAATGGCATCACATCGGATGCTTTCAACATCGGTGCTGGGGTTCCACAAGGAAGCATCCTTAGTCCCATTCTATTCAACCTGTTCACCTCCGATATGCTGGCTATCCCTGATGGTGGATCGTTGTCTCTGTTCGCAGATGACACATCCATCGTCTACAAGGGTAGGGTCATCGGAGCTCTGACTGCCAAACTTCAGAGAGGACGTCCTGTCTAAATATTTCAACAGCTGGAAGATCCATATCCACGTGGTAAAGACCCAGGTCATCATCTTTCCACACTCTAAATCTCCCAGACTTGTTCCGTCGGTGAATAATAAGATCTGCCTGAACGGCTCAGTGGTGGAATGGTGGAAAGAGGTAGTCTACCTCAACTTAACATTAGACAGCAAGCTGATTTTCAGGGAGCACGTTGACAAAACCAAAATCAAGTTTAACATCTTTGTTGGTTGCGCTACTTTGACGAGCTCGTCAAACCCCACGCTCCCCGAACGGTCGACGTAGACAGCCGAATCCATCCACACCCATCGTTCGAACAGAGGATTGTTGGAATACGGGACAATAGGGAGGTTACGGCAGAAACAACAAATGCTTTTGTTCAAAGTTTCGTCTGGCTCATCTTGGCATACAAAACAATTATTAAGAACTAAATTTACTCTAATTGAACTCTTAAACTACAGGTATAACCACAAAATTAGTCTATCTAAAACTTAATTAAAAATTTAATCTAAAAATTTATTAATGATAGTGCGAGTGCGATACGGTCGACGGAAAAGAAGGAGAAAGGTTTTTAAAACTACTATATAAGCGAGCAGTGAAGGTGAGAATCGAACTTAAACTAAAATTTAGAGCTAATAATGGACTAAAGTAAAAACCTAATCAGAAATAGGACATAGATCGGACGGTAAAGTTGTTGTGGACAACCAAGCAGTAGAGAATCACAACAAGTAAGTTACTTTACGATGAGATTCAATGATAGACATTTATAAATAAGTTAAATTGCAGGATTTTATAATTCTTTATTAACCACCCAATAAATTCACGAAATCACGATTCATCTGCTACCGCACAACATCTTACAAAATCTTGTTTGCACGTCGAGGATGTCTCGCAAATCGTCAACCAGATCCAGGTCGGAATTGAGTTCTGCCTTGGGTGCGGTAAGCCAACTTTTCGGTACAGGTGATGTGGGTAGCGCAGCAGACAAGGACACGGGAACTCCAATAACCGATGCAGATGTAGTTGCCGGGATCAACAGTCTCACTATCGTGACCAACGCGAAACGCGGAGCGAAGGACTCGATGAAATCGGCAACAGGCGCAAAGAGCGATGCAGCTGTGGTAAAAGTAGTTCCTCCCCCTCCTAGTCCTCAGGTAAATCTTGACGTTGCCAATAACAGACAGGCCCATGTAAAGGGATCCATACCCAAAATAAAGGCTAGTGCTAATACTAAAGTCAATCCCGTCCGGTCGTCAAATATTGTCGTTAACGCGAGACCCAACGCGCGACTTGATCTGAACCAACGCGTTCATATAACTCGGTACAGTCATTGCGAGTTGTGTAGTGAACGTGATACTAGTAGAATGGTGCAGTGTGATGGTTGCGATAAGTGGTATCATTTCTCTTGTGTAGAAGTGACTAGTGGCATAGCGGACTACAGCTGGATTTGTCCAAAGTGTCCATACATGCATTTCGGCGCAAGTCATCAAGAGCAGCAGACACCAATGCTCCAGCAGATTCAACCGGTAGATCCACCCCCCAACTCTGTAAGTTCAAAGAAGTCCACCGGAAAGGCAAGCAGTAACCGGAGCAATCAACGGAAGGTCGATCGACTATTGCAGAAGCTGGAAGAGCAGAAGCAGTTGGAACAAAAGTTTTTGGATGAAAAATACCGCATTTTGGATGAAGAGGACGCTGACGATGAAACTGTCGCCAGTGATGATGATGTAGGATCCGAGGAGATGTCCAAAGTGAGAGGATGGCTGAGAGATACGGAAAAGTGTGGTGAAGATTCTGATTCCGGTCTGGTGGAAGAAGAGTTGAACGATGATCAACTGCAAGCTGTCATTCAGTTGGCACCGACTATGGGGCAGACGGAACCGCAATCATCTCTACATGGTTTCGTTCCTAACCAACGTTCAACGCCTCAAGAGACCGTTCGTATGGATCCGAGGTTGAGGAGCCGTGTAATGCAACCTTCCGTTCCAGCACCGATCCCTGAAAGCCTGTTCCGCCGACCACCGGCACCAGTTCCAGAGGAGCCATTTCGTCAGCCTGTTGTTCCAGATACCCAGTTCCGTCAACCACCAGCCACAGCTCCAGGAGTCCTGTTCCGTCAACCACCAGCCACAGCTCCAGGAGTCCAGTTCCGTCAACCATCAGCTACAGCTCCAGGAGTCCTGTTCCGTCAACCATCAGCTACAGCTCCAGGAGTCCTGTTCCGTCAACCACCAGCCACAGCTCCAGGAGTCCAGTTCCGTCAACCATCAGCCATAGCTCCAGAAGTCCAGTTCCGTCGACCACCGGCACCTGTTCCAGAAGGCCTGCTCCGAAGGTCGCCTTCGCACACGCTTCCAGAAGACCAGTTCTACCGACCACAAGTACTTCGGTCAGCTGCAGCTTTAGAAACACATAACTACCTGCCACAGGATCTTCGGCCGCCACCTGCTGCACCAAATGAACACTTCTGGCCAGAACCAACAATCGTCCCGGAAAGCCAGTATCGTCAACCTTCAGGGTCAAGGAATGAAATGCTTCAAGGAGATTCAACATCCCGAGGTTTCGGAAATCCGGAACCAGCTGCTCGCAATGTCGAAGAGAACGTGTGCATCCTCAACCGAAGCCAGTTAGCAGCACGTCAGGCTGTATCCAAGGAGTTACCGGAGTTTTACGGAAATCCTGAAGATTGGCCGCTGTTCTTCTCCATGTACAACTCTTCAACGAAGATGTGTGGCTTCTCCAACGAAGAAAACATGCTTCGGCTTCGAAAATGCTTGAAGGGCAAGGCTCTAGATGCTGTACGATGCCGGCTACTCCACCCATCCAACGTTATCGGTGTAATTTCTACGTTGAAAATGCTATATGGAAGACCAGAAGCAATCGTTCAGGCATCAGTTAGGAAGATTCGGTCATTACCATCGCCACAAGTGGAAAAACTCGACACTCTTGTCAATTTTGCATTGACGGTCGAAAACCTGGTAGCTACGATAGAGGCATGCGGCGTCGAAGATTTCGTATACAATGCGTCTTTGAAATGTGAGCTAGTGGATCGTCTTCCTCCTGGGCTGAAGCTGGATTGGGCGAAGTATTCCAGAAATAATGCAGCACCAAATCTGCTTGATTTCAGTTATTGGCTGTACTCGATCGCGGAAGATGCTAGTTCAGTTATGCAAACTTCGTTCAGCACGCAAAGAATTCGTGGAGCAAAGAATGATGGATTTATCAATGTCCACTCTGAAGCAGAATCAGAACTGTCCCGATCAGCAGCTGCAAAGACTCGGGGTATCCACGGATCATCATCAGCGCCAATGACAGAATGCATCACATGCAGAGGTCATTGTCCGTCAGTTGCAAAGTGCAAAAGATTTGCTGAGTTAAGCCTAGTTGCAAAGTGGGCTGTTGTACGAGAGAGAAAGCTGTGTCGCAAATGTCTGCGTAAGCACAATGGATCATGCAGGCAGCAAAAACCGTGTGGGATCAAAGGATGCATCTTTTTGCATCATCCGTTGTTGCACAATGACCACCAGGAGGTTGAAAAGGAACGTTCTGGCCAAACCTTTGCTACCGGAAGTTGCAATATTCACCAACTTCAAACTAGCGAAGTCCTGTTCAGGATTGTTCCCGTGCTAATCCACGGTCCATCAAAATCCATCCAGACATACGCGTTCATAGACAACGGTTCAGAGCTGACACTGATGGAAGATAGCCTTGCAGAGGAGCTTGGCGTAAAGGGGCCTCGAACACCGCTGTGCTTAAAATGGACGGGTGGTACCAAGAGAGTGGAGAATGAATCCCAGAAGGTAGATGTGGAAATATCAGCCATCGGAAAAACCTCGAAGTCGCACAGGATGTCCAACGTACATACGATTCAGAACCTACAACTTCGGCCGCAAACGTTAGTGTATTCTGAGTTACTGCAACGGTATCAACACCTCGGTGGACTACCTGTCGAATCCTACAGTAACGTATGCCCTCGAATCCTGATTGGGCTTGACCATGCGTCGCTTGGGCATGCTATGAAAAGTCGAGAAGGAAAGCCATACGAACCTATCGCCGTCAAAACACGCTTGGGATGGATAATCTACGGGAGTTGTTCACGAACACAGCGAAACCAAAACTACGTGAATGTCCATACGATTAAAGTATGTGAGTGCAATCTTGATTCCGACGATAACCTGCACACCGCAATGAAGAACTACTTCACTCTAGATAGCCTTGGAGTGGCAAAACCAGAAAAGATTTTGCGGTCAACGGAAGAACAACGTGCCTTGGAAATGCTCGAAAAGCTGACAATCCCAAAAGAAGGGCGGTACGAAACGGGACTCCTCTGGAAGTACGATGATGTTCGCTTTCCAAGTAGCAAAGGAATGGCTTACAGAAGATGGCAGTGTTTAGACCGGCGCATGAAGCGGGATGAGGAGTTTGCAAAAACCGTGACGACGAAGATGGATGAATACGTGGATAAACGCTACGTTCGGAAGTTGTCGGATGATGAACTCAATATGCATCAGTCTAAGGAATGGTACTTACCCGTGTTCCCTGTTGTGAACCCCAACAAACCGGGTAAGGTACGGCTAGTCTGGGACGCAGCTGCTCCTGCTTATGGCGTTTCACTCAATTCGCTGTTACTCAAAGGCCCTGACCTTTTGACGTCGCTACTTGCAGTTCTCGTCCAGTTTCGTGAATTCCGGATCGCAATTTGCGGGGATATCCGGGAGATGTATCTGCAAGTTCTACTGAGGCAAGATATTCGACTGTGCTTCTTCTGGAAGGGCGATGAAGGCAACGCGGATCCTAAGGTGTACATCATGTTGGTGTTACCGTTCGGAGTGTCGTGTGCTCCAAGCATTGCGCAGTACGTCAAAAACACCAACGCCCAACGGTTTGAGAAGGACCATCCCACCGCTGTTCAAGCTATCGTCGACCAGCATTACGTAGATGACATGCTTGTAAGCGTGGAAAGCGAGCAAGAAGCAGTGGACCTCGCACGGGATGTAAAGAAAATTCACCATGAAGCCGGCTTTGAAATGAGGAACTGGATCTCAAATAGCCCGGATGTTTTGGAGGCGTTACATGAACGAAATACGGAAGAGAAGGACCTTAATATGGCAGAAGGAGTGATAACCGAGAAAGTGCTCGGAATGTGGTGGAATACGTCCACTGATTGTTTCACCTTCAAGGTTTCTCCACGGTACGATCCTGAGCTAATGTCGGGGCAGCGGACACCAACGAAGCGCGAAGTGCTCAGAACCTTGATGATGATCTTCGATCCTTTAGGACTCATTGGCCACTTCTTGATGTTCCTGAAGGTGGTACTGCAGGAAATTTGGAGAACATCCGTCGGATGGGATGACCCGATCGAAGAAAAACAGTTTGAGATGTGGATGCAATGGCTGAAGGTCCTTCCTGAAGTGGCAAAGGTAGAAATCCCGCGGTGCTACAGGACGGCTACATCTGTTGGAGGTTCCAACGAAGTACAAATGCACATCTTCGTCGATGCTAGCGAGAAGGGTTTCGCGGCGGTGGTGTATCTGCGATTCAAGGAGGGGCCCATCATCGAAACTGCGCTGGTTGGATCGAAGACTCGTGTTGCACCAATCAAATTTCTGTCGATTCCGCGCTCGGAGCTTCAAGCTTGCGTTATCGGAGTCAGGTTTGCGAACAGCATAGCACAGTCACTGTCTATCAAGGTGAATAGACGCTACTTCTGGACGGATTCCAGTGACGTCATCAGCTGGCTCAAATCCGATCATCGTCGGTATAGCCAATTTGTTGCTTTCCGAGTGAGTGAGATACTAGAAGCTTCGGAAGTCTACGAGTGGCAATGGATCCAAACTAAAAAGAACGTTGCTGATGATGGCACGAAGTGGAAACGGGTGCCTGACATGACTAGAACTAGCCGATGGTTTAACGGACCGGAATTTCTCAAGAACATTGAAGGAGAATGGCCTGTGGAACTACACATCGAAGGACCTACTACGGAGGAACTGCGCCCACATTTGCTCGTTCACGTCAAATTACCGGAGCCAATCATTGACCTCCAAAACTGCTCTAAATGGACTCCACTTGTCCATCGAACTGCATACGTGTTTCGATTCATCGGGAACTTGAGGACATCCAGACCCGAAGAAAGAACTATTGGAGTGTTGACGAGTTCAGAGCTAGCTACGGCTGAAAACTATTTGTACCGGCTTGCTCAGGGAAGTTCTTACCCAGATGAGGTAGCAGTACTATCGGGCATACGAGCGTCGGAAAACTTCACATTAACGATACCGAAGAACAGTTCAATCTATCATCTTTGTCCGTTTCTAGACGAACATGATGTACTCCGCGTTCGTGGTAGAACCATCAGTTGTCCGTTTGTTAATCAGGATGCGGTGAATCCTGTTATTCTTCCACGAGACCACCACATCACCCGTCTCGTCATATCCCACTACCACAGCAAATATCATCATCAAAACCATAACACAGTTATCAACGAGCTGCGGCAGCGATACAGCATCCCTCGTCTGAAGGCTGCCTACAACAGGATCCGTCAATGCTGTCAGCAATGCAAGAACGACCGTGCACGACCGCAACCACCGGCTATGAGCGACTTGCCACTACCTCGCCTAGCTGCCTATGCTCGTCCGTTTACTTATATGGGGGTGGACTACTTTGGTCCAATTGTGATCATCCTTGGGCGTCGTCTCGAGAAGCGTTGGGTACTTCTCGCCACTTGTCTTACCACTCGCGCCATCCACTTGCAAATCGTTCAGTCAATGACTACCGATTCTTGTATTATGGCACTACGAAACGTCATGGCTAGGAGGGGTGTACCTGCAGTCATATATAGTGATAGAGGTACGAACTTCCAGGGAGCTAGTAGGGAACTCGAAGAAGTTATGGTGAATTTGGATCGAGAGCGTCTTGCAGCGGAGTTCACCACTTCACATACTACCTGGAGCTTCATTCCTCCCGCTTCGCCGCATATGGGAGGAGCGTGGGAACGACTCGTTCGAACCGTCAAACAGAACCTTGCCAAACTGAAACCCAACAGAACGCTGTCCCATGAAGTCCTCGAAAACATGCTTGCAGAGGTAGAGAATATTGTGAATTCTCGCCCATTAACCAGTATTCCTCTCGATGATGACCAGTCACCGGTGCTAACGCCCAATCATTTTTTGCTGGGATCAAGCAACGGATTAAAACCTTGGGTTCCGTTTGACGACAGCTCAGAAGTGCTAAAAAACTGCTGGGAGCTTTCTCAAACCTTAGCCAATCAATTCTGGAAACAATGGCTACACGACTATCTTCCTTCCAGCACTCGTCGCACGAAATGGTTTATGGAGGTGAAACCCATCAGAGTCAACGATATCGTCGTCATCGTGGACCCGAAACTTCCTCGGAACACCTGGCCCAAAGGCCGAGTTATTGGGATCAAGCAGGGATCGGACGGGCAGGTGCGAAGTGCTACTGTGCAGACTTCTGGTGGCATCTACGAGCGACCAACTGTGAAGCTTGCCGTGCTCGACGTAGGCGTTGAAAGCAATGCGCATCAGGACGACCAGAAGCCCATTCCGGGGGGGGAGTGTTGGTTGCGCTACTTTGACGAGCTCTTCAAACCCCACGCTCCCCGAACGGTCGACGTAGACAGCCGAATCCATCCACACCCATCGTTCGAACAGAGGATTGTTGGAATACGGGACAATAGGGAGGTTACGGCAGAAACAACAAATGCTTTTGTTCAAAGTTTCGTCTGGCTCATCTTGGCATACAAAACAATTATTAAGAACTAAATTTACTCTAATTGAACTCTTAAACTACAGGTATAACCACAAAATTAGTCTATCTAAAACTTAATTAAAAATTTAATCTAAAAATTTATTAATGATAGTGCGAGTGCGATACGGTCGACGGAAAAGAAGGAGAAAGGTTTTTAAAACTACTATATAAGCGAGCAGTGAAGGTGAGAATCGAACTTAAACTAAAATTTAGAGCTAATAATGGACTAAAGTAAAAACCTAATCAGAAATAGGACATAGATCGGACGGTAAAGTTGTTGTGGACAACCAAGCAGTAGAGAATCACAACAAGTAAGTTACTTTACGATGAGATTCAATGATAGACATTTATAAATAAGTTAAATTGCAGGATTTTGTAATTCTTTATTAACCACCCAATAAATTCACGAAATCACGATTCATCTGCTACCGCACAACAATCTTGAAAAGATCACTGTTTCCACTTATCAACAGGAGGTCTACTCTTTGCTACCGTAGCTTGCTGTTTACAAACAAATCATCCTTCCCGCAATAGAATACGGGATGCCAATCTGGGAGAGTTGCACAAAATGCCATCACCTTTAACTCCAAAGGATCCAGAACAAGATCCTTAGTATCGTGACCGAACACTAGTCCCCCGCGGATTTGAAATTATGAGATCGTTGGCTTTGCGGACGAAGTCGTCATTACGGTAACAGGCGAGACGCTGGATTAGGTGGAATTGTTGTCAACCGAGGCGATCGACATGACTGGTAACTGGATGCAAGGAGCGAAGCTGCAGATAGCCCACCACAAAACGGAAGTGTTATTGGTCAGTAACTGTAAAGCGGTACAGCGGGCAGAAATCACCGTCAGGGAGCACGCCATAGCCTAGAAGCGTGTGTTAAAAAACCTGGGAGTCATGATCGATGACCGGCTAAACTTCAACAGCCACGTCGAATACACCTGTGAGAATTGAATGCCATCAACGCGATAGCTAGAATCATGCCGAACAATGCTGGTCCCAGCAGTAGCAAGAGGCGTCTTCTGGCCAGTGTCTCGTCATCGATACTGAGATATCGCATAACATTTGAAAAGGGCTTATCCTCGATGATCGATTCTCTTCATCGATTTTCTCTATGGTTTACTACGGCTATATAAACGTATTTCTCCCTAAGTTCGCAGCACAGTTCAACAGAAGATGATGTTAGCTTGCGCCTGAAACTCAATGGAACATTCATTTGCAGTCGGGTTATTCGCGAAAGAGAAAATCGATTAAGAGAATCGACCAACAATGATAGGCCCTTTTCTCGTGTTGCGCGAGTGATATGGAGGTCCAGCCTGGGTTCCAGCGCTGTAAACGAAGCAGAGCCAAAGAAAATTGAGCAGCACGTTCCGGCTCATGTCCAGTCGTGAGTGCGTGCAGAACCATCTCGTCGGAAGCAGTATGCGTTATCGCTGGTATGATCCCTATCGACATCACCCTGGCGGAGGACATCCAGTGCTTCAGGCGGAGAGAAGCCGGAAGACTACGGAAAGTTGTGATAGTGGAGTCATTGGCTAAGTGGCAACAGGAGTGGAACACGACTTCAGGAAATACTCACATCGGTTCGGACACGCAGCGTCACCCCTCTGTCTCCGGAGTGTGGCAACGCCGATGAAACGCCGGAGCATGTGGTCTTCGACTGTCCAAGACTGACGAGGCAGTGCGAAGGGAGATGCCCGTCCTTAACGTGGAGAATGTCGTCGTTGAAATGTGTCGAGAAGAGGGCACTTGGAATGCCGTCAGCAGGGCAGTCACGCAGATTATGTCGGAGCTGCAGCGTAAATGGAGAGAAGAGCAGTGATCTAGCAAAGCCAGCTAGCGCTGAGAGTACGACAAGTGCATGACTACAGCCACCCCCCGAAGTAGTCGCTTCACAGTGGTCCCGGGGGGATCCAGGTAGAGGAGAGAGTAAGGAATGGGTTTTAGTGGAGCTGGAGTGGATACCCCACCGTGCCAACTTCACTACAGGCCAGGCTTCTTGAAGCTTTCCTTGCTAAAAAAAAACATTCACACACTAAATTGTGTGTACATTCCGAAATTCCACTTATGGGCGCTGCTTAAAGGGTGCGCATATATATATATTTTTTTTAATTCTTTATTTGAGAGATTTTTAGCCATAGGCTAGTTCATCTCTTGGCGCATATATGAAAAATCAGTGAGTAACCAGCTCTAAATTTCCCACGACAGCATGACACGTTTCAGGTCACTTTTAGTCATAAGGAACGTACTCATCGGAACATAGTCCGGCCATATCTCCGGAACCAGTTGACAGATTCCATAAATTTGCAATAGCGTGCTATGGTACCTGAGTTAAATGGTACATATATATATATATATATATATATATATATATATATATATATATATTTTTTTTTTTTTTTTTTTTTGACGTTTTAAACGATACGGTTCATTCGCCTCTCTGAAATTATTGGTCTTTATTTTAAATCTTATCAAACAATTAACATTTTTTTCACAAATTTGATGATTTTTACTTCATCTTCTTTGTTGTTTCCTAAAGCCAATTGATGGCTGCTATTGCTTCCTATTTCTTCCCGCACATGGTCGTATTTTATACAGTTGAATAATATTTGTTCTACCGATAGTTCTGAATTACAAATTTCACAATTTTGGGATACATTTTTTATTAAATAAGTGTTCTTTGGTAAGTTTGGTAGGACCAATCCTGCATCTGGTCAAGACGATTCTTTCTGTCTTACCATTTCTCGATCGACGTTTTGCTCTTTTTAAGAAATGTTGGGCGATGAGATTCCCATATAGATTGGAAGTGATCTTGGAGAAGATGTCTAACTCAATGAAGAAAGTCGGAGGCAGGGATCATATCTTGCACTTGTGGAGAGGTTCTTCCCCGATTGGCTGCACGGTTGGCGTATTCATTTCCAGGAATATTGGCATGCCCAGGGATCCAACAGAATGTTCAATTTCTTGAATAAATGGATGCTTCGATTTTCCTTGCTCCAATGCAGCGATGCAACTTGCGGAGTCAGATAAGATAACTGTGGGGGCTCTTTTGTGGCGCAGTGGGTAGCAATAGCTAGTGCAGCAGCCTCTGCTGAAAAAAACACTACACTGTTGTGGTAAGCTACCTTCTACAGTAAGATTGTAGCCTATTACTCTTAGACCGACCTGGTTGTCGCACTGCGACCCGTCGGTGTAATACTTGGAATGCTCGCTGTATTTGGTGGTTAACAGGTTACGGAACTCTAGCGTTTCCGGGATTCTGGCCTTTCTTGAAGATTTTCTTAATCGACCAGTCAACTTTGGTAGGTTGGTTGTGCCACGGTCGATTTCCAATGCGGTGTAGTTTAGCGATGTTAGGAAGTCCTATGCCAGTTGCATTATGGAGAGCTTCATTTGCTGCTTCCCGAAGGTGTAGGTGATTAGACGATGATTTCTCCTCGGTACGGCAGCACCTACGGATGAGTGTTTCCGTCATTAGCAGATTGAGAGGAAGTTCCCCTACTTCTACAACTAGGCTAATTATTGGTGATGATTGAATTGCTCCACTGGTAATTCTTATCAATTGATTGAAGGTGGTCTGGAAGGGGTAAACTAAGTCCAGGCCAAATAATTCAATGCCGTATAACAACTTGGATATACATGTAGCTTCCGCGATCCTCCTTAATGTTATTCTGTTCGCCTTTGGTGGATTCGATTCTTCAGTACCTCGATAGTTTTTGCGGCGTAAACAGAGAACTGACCTCTGCGGTTAATCCATATACCCAACAGACGAGCGGTGTTAGCAACTTCAGGGATACTTTCATCTTCGATTTTGATATCTAGACGTGCATTACGCCATCTGTGTCTAGTTTTTTGACAGATGTGAAGAATGCACGATTTAGGCGCCGATAATAAAAATTTAACACTTTTAGCCCATGTATCAACGGCTTCCACGGCGGTTTTTTAGTGCTTTGCGAACTCTTGGGAGATGTTTTGATGTTGCTATCAGTATTATATCATCTGCATAGACAAGTGCACGAACATTCCGAGGGATAACATTGAAAACTGCGTTAATCGCAAGTAGAAACAGAATCGCAGCGAGGACTGAGCCTTGGGGGACCCCATTATCCACAGTTCGTTCGGTTGAGGTGATTCCGCCGTAGTTGACTCGAAAACTCCGGGCTTGAAGAAAGTCAGCTATACAATTTCGCATTCGATGTCCAATATTTAAGTTGTCAACTTGGTTCAGAATATTGGGTCGACAGGTTTGGTCATATGCCTTCTTGAGGTCGAGAATAGCCAATTCAGTATGAGCTCCTGATCGTTCAGCTTCCGTTAAAATTTCTTTGAGATTGGCAAAATAAGATAAAGTACCACGACCAGCTCTAAAGGCATGTTGATTAGGATGTAATACATCGTTTTCCTCTTTGGAACGTCATAAGCCTACGATTAACCATACGTTCATAAATTTTGCCAATACAGCTAAACAACGTTATGGGGCGGTATCCTTCGGCGCGCTGATGGTCCCCTCCAGGTTTGGGGATCGGTACTACGATTCCTTCTTTCCAACTGCTTGGGAATATTCCATCCGCCCAAATTACATTGTAGCTTCGGAGCAATTGGAAGACGCTTGATCATAGGGTAGCCAACATTATCGTTACCAGTGGTATGTCCTTTGGCGACATCGATAGCTCGAAGGAGCTCTTTTATGGTAAAATCTTGATTAAGAGATGATTCTTCTTGTGTTCCTTTGGGTATTGTAGTGCTTCCTGACTTGATTGTGGAGCTGTTAGACGATTCACTGTTGTTTACAGATGCCGTATGGAAATAGTCAGCAAAATGCTCGCCAATTTGCGTAGGTTCCTGGATATGTTTTCCGTCGATTGTTAGACCACGTAGTTCGGATTTTCTTTTCCCATTCAGTCGATGAAAATTGCTCCAAAGAATATCCGCAGGAGTACTGGGATTAAATGACTCACAGAATTTTATTCCAGGATTCCTCTTTTGCTCGTGAAATAGCCTTCCTTGTTGC